GGAAAGACTTTTCCACCTCTTATTGGGGAAGAGGGAATGGAGATCATCTAGCTGTGAGACTGCTCACAGCAGGCCAGTTACTCCTGACTGTAGGAATTATTTTTTGAGGTATCCAGCTTAGAATAAGCTGCTGTTTGAGGCAAATAAAAGCATCAAACATCACCAAGCAGTAGTCAAAATGGGAAAATTTTTTGATTGTAACTAGTTGATGTCATGAGCTGCAGATGAATTTACAGCCTTACTGTAAAAGTCAGTCTTCCACTTTGAGATCTTTTCCACTCCTATCTGCTTTCTGAAATGGCAGCATAGTAGATCTCCTTCCTAAAGCTGCTTCTGTTTAGTGAATATGTTGCTAAGTTTCAGGAAAGAGAAAGAACTTCTTATGGTTTGTTCCAAGCTAAGCTCTGTGCTGTCTCTTATGCTTTTCAGCTGTGACCTGTCCTGCCTTAGAAATGCCTGCTCATGGTGCTGTGAACTGCTCCCATCCCTCTGTGGAGCTCACCTGGGGTACCACCTGTGAGTTCACCTGTGAGGAAGGATTTACCCTGACAGGACCAGCCACACTGCAGTGTGGGTCTTCTGGGGCTTGGGACAGGCAGCAGCCATCCTGTGCAGGTACCTCTCCTTATCCCTGCTCACCCGAGCACTTGGGGTTGTCAGCATTGGCATGTTGAATGCCTGTGAGGCATCTGTGCTGATTGCTGTTGTGATCTGTGTGTTGCAGCTGTGAGGTGTGAGGCTGTAACCTGGCCAGAAGAAGGCTTTGTGACCTGTGACCACGCTCCTGCAGATCTCGCCTATCGCTCACATTGTGATTTCCGCTGCAGCGAGGGCTATGTTCTGGATGGCCCATCCAGCATTGAGTGCACGGCGCAGGGACAGTGGTCAGAGCCAGTGCCAAAATGCAAAGGTAAGACCTACTGGGTTGGAAATGATCAATTCAATCTTAGAGTAGCTTGAATAGTCTGAAGAAGCTTCGTCATTCAAGTGTAGTCAAGGAATAACAGTCTTCCCCAGCGTGTTTATAGCACTTTTCATAAGCAGATGTCAAGATAGGGATGATTTAGCCTGTTGTATTAAAGAGGAAACAGCAGTGCAGGGTGACAAGCAACACTCTGGAACTGTGTCCCCAGTGCACATAACAGGCTTTTGAAGTGGAGAGTTCTGACAAGAACTCTTTATTTCCTACACTTCAAATGGGAGCCGGTGTCTGTTTATGCAGTCCACTTGTGGAGTATATTCTGGAGCCAGTCTCAGGATAGCTTGTGTGTTCTAGGTCCGTGTTTAAGGGTTCTGGCTGCACTGTGCAACATGCTGAAATCCCTGTTTCCCGAGACACTGCTAGGTCTGGAGGGAAGTAACATGGCTGTGTAGGGGACAGCTCCAGGCAGGGCATGGTGTCTTGTCGGCTCAAAGAAGAGTGTTTATCTTGACCTACTCCAGGCTAAGCTCTGTGCTGTCTCTTATGCTTTTCAGCTGTGACCTGTCCTGCCTTAGAAATGCCTGCTCATGGTGCTGTGAACTGCTCCCATCCCTCTGTGGAGCTCACCTGGGGTACCACCTGTGAGTTCACCTGTGAGGAAGGATTTACCCTGACAGGACCAGCCACACTGCAGTGTGGGTCTTCTGGGGCTTGGGACAGGCAGCAGCCATCCTGTGCAGGTACCTCTCCTTATCCCTGCTCACCCGAGCACTTGGGGTTGTCAGCATTGGCATGTTGAATGCCTGTGAGGCATCTGTGCTGATTGCTGTTGTGATCTGTGTGTTGCAGCTGTGAGGTGTGAGGCTGTAACCTGGCCAGAAGAAGGCTTTGTGACCTGTGACCACGCTCCTGCAGATCTCGCCTATCGCTCACATTGTGATTTCCGCTGCAGCGAGGGCTATGTTCTGGATGGCCCATCCAGCATTGAGTGCACGGCGCAGGGACAGTGGTCAGAGCCAGTGCCAAAATGCAAAGGTAAGACCTACTGGGTTGGAAAATACAGTTTTCTTGTCACTGGACAGCACACTGAAACCCGTATTCCTACAGGGTCCTGGCTCCAAACTAAACTCTGCTGCCTCTCATGTTTTCAGCTGTGACTTGCCCTGCCTTAGAAATGCCTGCTCATGGCTCTGTGAACTGCTCCCATCCAAAGTCAAATGAATTTGAAAATTCAGTGTACATCTACTAGTGCAAAAAATAGGGCTAAAGACAGGAAAGTCCTTAATGACTCTTAACTATTTCTTTCTATATTTCAGTTGTACGGTGTGAACCACTGAGCTCTCCTGAGAAAGGCTCTATGGATTGCTTACATGGTGCTGGGAACTTCACGTATGACACAGCCTGCCACTTCAGCTGTCTGGAAGGATGGAAGCTCAATGGTTCTCGTGTTCTTGAGTGTGGTCATTCAGGAAACTGGAGTGCTAGTCTGCCCACATGTGAAGGTATTTGGCCTGTGACTAGCCACAGAGAGGTGGCACTGGGTTTCTAGTCAAATGAGGTATGGAAGGGTGGAGGAGGTAACACCAACGAGTGAGCTAGAGCTTCTAGTGAAGTCTGTGAATTGGAAAGCCCAACAAAATCTCTCAGTATGTTCTTTGAAAATAGAAGGGGGAAAAATTCCTAAAAGGTCTTGGTGAAAAAAGTTGATTTCTTATTCAAAAACAAAAGCTGGAACCTGATTTTGGGTTGGTTGGTTTGGTTTTTAATTAAAATATTTCTCATGTTGAGCTTTTTCCATATGAATAAAGAAAAAAGCTTTTTCTAACCTTGTGGGGAAATCTGCATTCATAAGTCTATTTCTCAGTGGAAAAGTTTATAGATTTGTTAATTTGGTGTGATAGTTTCTTGGGTGAACTCCTCAGCCAAAAGACCTCACAGAGCTTTTCTGTCAAAGGCTGTAATTTTACAGACAGCAGTCTCAGCTGTGCCTTCCCATTCAAGGCAGTAAGAGCTCTGTCCCTGTCCTCAGTGGGAACATACTTGGCCTGCCTGAAATGTTTTTGCTTGAGGTCCTAAAAGCTCAACTCCACTTTACTTGCTTGAGCAGAATTTAGATCCTTGAATAATTTCATTGATCTCAACGGGATTGCTCAAAGAGGAAGACAGCACAGTGGGAATTTAAAGTATGAACTGAAGCATGAAAAATAGAAGATGAGCATAAATTGTCATGTGAGGCTGGAGGTTAGACAGACCCTGGTATAGCTAGCTTGTTGCTTTGCCATTGCTTTGGCAATGGATGGGATCATTTTTAGTGTGCAGCTTTTTACCTTGTATACAGGATTTGTCCTGTCTCAGCAAGAGAAAACTTAAGGGTTACAAGCTGCAATTCTGGTTCCTCTTGAAGAGCACAAGGAAAAGGAAGAAGTAGAGAGGGCTTCAAAGACCTCACATGCCTCTTGATCTCACTGAAACTTTTTCATCATTTCAGCTTCTGAACAAGCCAGCTATGTCTCTGTGGGCATAGCAGCCACAAGTGCCTCTCTGTTGTCCACAGCATCATTCCTCCTTTGGCTTGCAAGACGTTTCCGAAGAAAAGGTGAGCAATTGGACTGGGTTAACTGTTTTTATTTACCTTCCTGAAAAATTTTCAGTGGAGGAAAAAAAACACCTCCAAACCCTAATACCTTTTTGAAAAAGTGAAAATTCCCATACTTAAACAAATTCCAAAATTATTTTCAAGAAGCTTGCATGCATTCCATGTTTGGCTTTTGGATGAACAATCAATTGATGAAAAATCAAAAATAGTAAAAACCAAATGTTTAGAAAATAAGAATTAGAAGAAAAAAAAGCAACATTCTATTTATCAGTAATTACTGCCAGGGAAAGTGAATGGGAATTTGAGATGGGGCTAATGACAACACAGTAATAACTGCCTATGAGATTTGTTGTTAGATAATGGCTTTTTATCAGATATTCAGAAATGAGAGTTGTTTTAGTAGAAGGAAGTTTTGCATGAGGGGGCTTTCATCTTGAAATGCTAATACCTTTTCTTATTCTTCTTGCAGCAAAGAAATTTACTCCTTCCAGGTAAGTTGTGTCTCAAAAAGCAGCCTGAAAAACACTGCAATCACTTTGCTAAAATCCCTTTGCTATAAACCACTTGTCATTAAAGTACTTTATTCATTTCTGTTTTTTATAGTAGCTGCCAGAGCCTGACCATCGAAGGTAGCTTCCAAAGTGCTGGCCAGAATGTCTAACTCCAGGTGTTTCAGGTAAGCACATGAGATAGCTACACTCACAAATTCTCTTCCTTTTAATCACATGAGCAATCAGAGCTGTTAATTGCTATACAATTGCTGAAATAGCAGTATGTGCTTTGGAGTACCTAATATGCATCTTGGCATTGCATGAAAGGTCTAACAAGACTGATGGATTTATTGCTTTAGAAATGGTTATTCAGCTCCTTCAGGATGATTGTGCTTAGCATTCTGTCCAGCCACATATAGTATTAGAACACTTTTGTGCATTTTTGCTACCTGCTGCATACAAAATTCCTCTGAAATGAGAGCAAATACAAATCTATGCCAGTTTTCCAATTTATAGAGGAATTTTGTTCTCTCTGCAGGAATTGAAGCCATCTTTACTTGTGTCTCAGATTTCCAGAGAATGAAACTGCATGCAAATCAGCAGCTGTCCAGATGTTTTTACCTCTTGCTGACAAGATGATTGACTTCGTGTATTGATCAGAAATTTTGAACTCAAGCTGTCTGGTATTTCCATTGAAGACAAGCCGAGAGTAAAACTCTGACCTTCTGGCAGAATACTGTCTACATTCAGTCATGTAGTTGTTGTTATAACTGGGAGCTTGCCATCTCTTGTCCAGATGGTGAGCAAATAGTAAGCTGCTGCCTAAAGAGGAGGTTGGTTTCTCCTCTGGTCTACTCAAAGGTACCTAGGTGAGGTGAAGACATGCATTATTTCACATCACTTACTACACTGCTGGAAATGTCTTCTCTGGAGACATATGGGTTATACTTGCAGAACCAGAGTAATCGGGATGAAAAAATATTTGTTGAACAGCCTTGAAACCATTGGTCTGGTTTATTGTTGAAGTCAGTTTATTTTAAGAGGATGTCCCAGTCAATAAATATGCCTGTAGTGATATGGGCAATTATTTGGGTTTCTGCTGCATGTCCCAGAAAGCTTAGGGACTTTAAATTCTTTTTTTAATAGCACTAGGAATTGTAGTGCTTATACTAGGTACTCTGGTTTCTGAATGCAGCAAGTAGATCCGAAATGATCTCATCCCTGTGGGATTATGCACTGTAATACAGGTGTATACATAAATATTTAATTGTGCAATTTTTACTGTGGATATTTCTGTGCTGTTAACTGTAAATGTATTGTAAAATACTTGTTCCTGAGTCGGTCTGTGGCCATTGATCTGGGCCCAGGTAATTTTAAAATAATTCAGAGGTGTTTGTAAGGATTTCATGCTTGCATATTATTTACAAATAAAATGATAAAACGGAAGCCTGAGATTTGTGTGTGTGTGTATATATATATTGCAAGTATGATTTATTAAGTTGTTAAAGGACTTTAAATGAGAGAGTCTTTCTTAGTAAGTTATGTTTGTTATAATCATAAATTAAGAATCTCTGACTTAGAATCTAATTTGTATTGTCCTATTTGTAACAGTATTTAATAAAATGTTTTAAATGTAATGCTCCCTTTTTGGAAATGTACATCATTTAAATGATTTAGGTCAGCCCTGTAGGATATGGCTTCAGCAGGGGAATGTGAGGGGGTGGGGGGAAGCTGGCTAGA